CCTCTGACACATCCTTCTGCCCAGGACTGGGGTTTCAGGTACGTCACAACTGGCTTTCTTATATAGGTGCTTAGGAGCTGAATTCAAAACTTGTATTTGCATAAGAAGCACTCTGCCCTGCTGAGGAATCTCCCCAGACATGGACAAAGTCTTAATGCTGAAAACCCTATAATGAAGATGACCCCCCCCCCAAACACACACACCTGACTCAGCCAAAGACTATTATCATATCCTATTCAAAGCATAGATCCATAGGTTTTCTTTTTAAATGAACTTCTCTCTCTCTCTCTCTCTCTCTCTCTCTCTCTCTCTCTCTCTCTCTCTCTCTCTCTCCCTCTCTTTCTCTCTTTCTTTCTCTCTTTCTTTCTTTTTTTCCAAGACAGGGTTTCTCTGTGTTGCCCTGGTTGTCCTGGAACTTGGTCTGTAGATCAGGCTGGCCTTAAACTCACAGAGACCCACCTGAGTCCTGGGATTTAAAACATGGGTCACCACTGCCTGACAAAAGAATATTTTTTAATGTCTACTAATGTTAGCCTCAGGCTGAACAAAATTCATATGCGTCCTGGATAGAAAGCAATGTGGGCTTTCCCCCTCTATAAATATTTTCTGTTGTTAATAAAATGTTGCATTAGTAATATTCTCGTTGAAGTTAAGTATGAAGCATAGCAGAGAATGAAATATTAGAATTAGCAGATAAAACATCCTGCTACAAAACTAACTGTAATTTGCATTGTTTCATGTTATTATGAATAACCAGAATTTAGCACATGAAGGGTCATGTTTAAACAGTGGAATTCTTTATTGGCTTATCAATGCCTCACACTAATTGGATTTATTTGTGTGTGTGGGGGGGATGACACAGTGTGTGTAGAGATCAAAGGACAACTTACAAGAGTTGATTCTCTCCTTCTGCCATTAGGGTCCTAGGGATTGCACTCAGGCTGCCAGGCTTGTTAGCAAGCATCTTTACCCATTGAGAGGTCTTATCAATCTCCATCTAACATTAGACTAGGTTTTGTGTTCCAGCTTGCTACATCATTGATTTAGAAAACGAATATATACCAAAATAAACTGACTTGAAGTCGGGCTAGTGATGCATGCTTGTCATCCCAGCACCTGGGAAGCTGAGACAGGAGGATTAGGAGTTAAGGCTATACTGTAAGATCCTGTCTCAAAGAAGAAGCTTCCTTAGGACCATGATCTTAAATGTTAAATAAAAAATAAACAGGGGCTGGAGGGATGGTTCCCTGGTTAAAGCATTGGCTGCTCTTCCAAAGAACTCAAGTTCGATTTCCAGAACCGACATGGTAGCTCACAATTGTCTGTAACTTAAGTCCCAGTTTTCTGGCCTCCACAGACATACATGCAGGCAAAAAAAAAAAAAAAAAAAAAAAAAAAAAAAAACCCATACACATAAAAGTAAAGGTAAAAAAAAATAATAAAAATTTTAAATTAAAATTAAAAGCGACTCTATAAAACTGAAATAGATCCTTGTTCAATTGAAAATATCCCGTAGAAGAGTCTATTTAATGACTATCTCATCAGTTACAGCCTTTGCTGGTTATTCCAAATCAGAGAAAGAACAACTAACACTTCCTAAAAATGTAAGTGCATTTACACCTAACAAGTGCTATTTAGAGTCTGCTGAAAATCTTCTACTTGGGCCTGATAACTCGGAGTTCTGAAACTCCAAAAGCAGCAATTCTATATAATTACATGATTACACACATGTGCTTTGCTGTTGGGGAAACTGTTTAACACACAGTGTGATATATATTATTTTCTTACTTTATTTCTCTATGCATAGCTATATGTTCGTGTGTGTTCATGTATGTGTGTTCGTGTGTGTGTGTGTGTGTGTGTGTGTGTGTTCATCAGGTGGTCAGAAGAGGGTGTTGAATTTCCTAGATCTGGAGTTACAGTTGATTATGTGCTGCCTAGTATGGGTGCTTGGATCCGCACTCTCCTCATGACTGAGTAACCAATAAGTCAACCATGTAGCCCCCAGAGCTGTGGTTCTAAACTTTCCTAATGCTGAGAGCTTTTAATACAGTTCCTCATGTTGTAGTGACCCCCAACCATAAAATTATTTCGTTGCTACTTCATAACTATAATTTTGCTACTGTTATGAATCGTAATATAAACATCTGATATGCAGGATATGTGATATTCGACCCTGTGGGGGGGGGTCTCCACTTACAGGTTAAGAATTGCTGCCCTAGATTATATACTAACCCTTCTTAAGTCTTAGACTTTCTATTCTACAACACCCAGGAGCTTGGATTCTGGACACTTTCGTACCTTAACACTTACTAATTCATTTGCCTAAAATATCTGCACAGCCTGGTTATTTATTATTTCCATAGGTTTCTGTTTCAATGTTTCCTTACCAAAATCCCATGGTCCTCCCAAAATTCTCCATCCTTACTTTGCCTCTATTTGTCATTCATGATACACACACACACACACACACACACACACTTTAATATATATTAAGCATCTATATATTTAATATATTGCATATTCACTTGCTTACCTGATCATTGACCACAAGGTGGTCAGGAGATTTGTGCCTAACACTACTTAGCACATAGAAGGGGCATGATAAACAATGTGTTGAGTGTGTAAATGGCTACACAGAAAGAAGGCGGAGAGCCTATCCATCCTCACAAGCTTTGGATACAAACACATCATTTATTCATACAGGACACAGGAAGAAATCTTTCTTGGTTCTGTTTTCATATGGGCCAAGACTTATCATGGAAACAGAAGACAGCCTCCGGTCCAATACTGATGGAAATAGCTTGACCAAACAGCTTAGCAAATACTTCAGACGTGCTCCCTGCTCTGGTCTATTCATTGGGTTCCAAGCAACTGCCTGAAGGATATTATGACCTTTCTCATTTCAGAACCTTAAGAAACACACTTGCTCATGGCCAACACAGATTGAGTAACTCTTTCTCCCAAGACATGAGTAAACCCTGAGGAGGGATGGAGGTACGACAGAGGTTGCATAAATCCATCAGGTCATGTTGGTTCATGGCAGGCTCTCCAGCGCAAAGACAAGATAGCATGTACTGGAAGGCTTAAGGAACTTATTTCACTCCCACACAAAGCCAGCTCTTCTTCTGAATTAAAATGGAGTTCAAGACCAGATCTTACTCAGCAAGCATTACAATACAAAAGCCTCTTACGGGCCTGCAAGCTTTAGTTTCTTCACACAGTGCAAGAATGCTATCATCTCTTCCAGTTCTCTTGTCCTGGATGCCCTTCCCCCTCTCCCCACATTGCTGCCACTGCTTTGCAGATGATGAAATTGAGGCCCACAGCAGAAACATGTTTCAGCAAAAGCCACCAAGCAGGTAAATGCAGAAATAGAACTAGAATTCATGTTTAACACCCCCACCCCATTACAGATTTAGTTCTTACATCCATACCCCTTAACTGTTTCTTTATTTCAAAACTGTTTAGTTACTGAGTCCCTTTAGTGGGGAAAAGGATGCCACCCATGAGTCCTTTAGTAGTGGCTGTAGCAGATTCTTTGCTGTGTAGGAAAGGGTGACACAGAAGAAAATGGCTAAAACCTGGAGCTAAGCAGTCTCACCCAGGTAATTGCTGTAGGGCTGCTGCCAGCTGCTCTACATAGTAACCAATGAACCTTCAGTTTGTATAGCCTGTACACTGCCAGCCTGGGCCCTGGATTTAATCAGTACCAACCCAATCCCCCTCAGATTACTCACTGAAATCAGTGAAGGAGATGATGTTCCTTTTGATGACATAATTTGCTTCATTAAACACCTTGAATAACATGATCATTCATTATGCAACATTCACAGATTTTTCTACCCAAGACTCAATTATATTTGTTCTGTGACAAAATGCACAACTCTGCACTACAAGCTTTGAAAAATGAATTCTACAAAACATCTCACTGTGATTTTCAACTTTGTGAGATGATCAATCCTAAAATCTTCCAACCTTTCCTTCATCTATGTTCCAGCACGTATCTAACTGCCTGAACTTTCCAAGATAGAGCTATATTTGTTCATTAATTTTACTCTCACTTTACCCCCATGAGATGAAGCTAGTCAATAGAGAGATTACTATCTTGACTGGGGAGATGTAGAAATTAGAACACAGATGTTAAGGGATTGCTAAATAGAGAGAGAATCTGGGCTGAATATTACTTCTCTGTATCTGATACTAGGCACAGTACACATTAAAATGATGTTCAATAACAAAGGAGCTCACTTACAAATAATTGTGAGGATATTTTGGAGTGGGTTTTTTGTTTGTTTGTTTGTTTTGCTTTTTTAGTTAGAGTGGCTAGCCTTGGTCCTTCAGCCTCTACATCCCAAGTGCTAGGATCACAGGAGTGCACCATGATGACCAGCCAAAGATTCTAATTTCTTCTGAATGGTACTCACAAACTGAAACACGGATGAGAGCAAACAGGCAGAAAGAAGTAATCATTTTTAGTTAGATGTGTAGAAAGTCTTCCTGTGGGTTTTAGGCTATATATCCACAGAACTGACCTCATGACTATGTAGTAAGTGAGGAAAAGCTAGTACTAACTGAGCTACATGTCTCTGAAGGTGATGCATATCATATTGTCTCAACCCATGACCCAGCAGTAACTGTTCAATCCCAGCGCCATAGAAACCATCACGGCAGCATATGACTGTAACCGCAGAACTTGCAGAGAGCATCAAAAATTTGGGCTATCTTTGGCTACATAGTGAGTCCAAGGCCAGCCTGTGCCACAGAAGTGATGATGGTAACAGATGTTGAGTACTCGGTAAGAGCCAGGTACATATTTCCTCATTTAACCTTTCTTGGAATGGCCCTATGACATGGGTCATGCATTTGTCATTCTGTAAGCGAGGAAACCACAGCACAGACAAGTCCAAGTGCCGGGGTCCATGGTCTAGATCTCAGCATGCCCAGACCGTGGTCACGTGAGAGGGTTGGCTGTTCTAACAAGGGCAAGCGCAACCTACCATTCTGAAGTCCTCCTCGAACTTGAAAGCCCCACCTCCCGTGGCACAGAGGGTGGTGTGGAGGCTGGAGAAGTTCTTCTCGCTGCCCATCTGGATGAACATGTGCATGGCACAGGTGGGGAAGCGGATGAAGTGCAGGTTCCCTTTGCGCCCACACATGGTCAGGTTTTTCAGTTCCAGGTGGACGTCCCGGATCCCAGTTTTGCCGTAGGCAGTATTAGAAGTCAAATACTTCCGGATGCTCTTCAGGTTCTCCACTTCTTCCTGTTCCTCTTCCGCCGTGATATCCTTTGGTTCAAAGTAAACCAACTTAACCAGGGTTCCGCCAATATCCATACCAAACCACGGGAATGCTGGGGAGGCAGAGAGAAAACAATGAGGCTGCAGACTCGGTGTTTGAATATTCAATGAGGGCATGCAATGCATTCAACATTAAATTTCCTTTAGGTCGACTACGGGAATCTAAAATGAGGGGCGGAGAGACAGAGTCCCTGGAGCACCCAACAGCTGTTCACAGAATTAAGAAAAACAGCACAGGATTCTGAAGAATCCCAAGCCAGCCTCGGTTGTGCTTTTGGGACTCAAGCACCCTGCCAAGCCCACTGCTATTCCAGTGTCAGGCTACAGAAGTCTTAGTCAATTTCAAGGACAGTTCCTAAGCCAGGCACGGTGGCACACAACAGCACATAGGAGCTAAGGCAGGAGGACTGAAAGTTGAGTCCAGTTTGGCCGACAGAGTGAGACTCAGTCTCCCAAGAGAGAAGAGGGGAGGAGAGGGCAGGGCAGGGGACACGAGAGATTGATGCTGGGAACGAAAAGCTTCTTTGACAATTTTTCTTTAGTTTCAGCCCTACGGATTATCTATATAAACCCTTGTCAAACTGAGTATATTGGGATATACTAAAGGTCTTTTTCTGGTGTCAGAACTATCCGGTTTTCTATTCGTGAGGTTGAGGGGAAAGTGTAGAAGGAAAATACCCCTGCACACAGAATCTTTCCCAAACTTCACTGTTGCTTCGTTTACGACTTAAATCATCCACTCAACAGTTGATAAACAGTTATTTCCCCAATACTCTAGAAGTACAGGGCTGGGGTTGTATCTCAGTGGTAAAGTGCTTGTCTAACATACACAGAACCCTAGGTTTGATCCTAACGTCACATAAACCAGCAGGGTGACACTGGTCTGTAATCTCAGACCTTGGAGGGAAGCTCAGAAGTTCAGGGTTATCCTGGGCTACATCGTGAGGGAAAGGCCATTCATTCTAGGATAGAAATAGTATCAGGAAAGAAGAGAGAAAGGGGATGTCTTCTGCAGCATTTGGAGGATAAGTAGCCAGGTGTGATGGCACACACCTCTAATCCTAGCACTCAAGAGGCAGAGACAGGTGGACCTTTCTGAGTTCGAGGCCAGCTTTGTGTAGATGTGAGTTCCAGGACAGCTAGAGCTATGTAGAGACACAAACAAACAAAAAACCCCTAAAAGTACTTTTAAAAAAGAAAGAAAGAAAGAAGGAAAGAAAAGGAAGAAAGAAAAAAAAAAAAAGACTCCAAGCCAGGTGTGGGACATGTCTGTAAATGTCTGTAATCCTAGAATCCAGGAAGCTGAAATAGGAGGGTTCTATGACAGCCTGAGCTATAGAATGAGACCCTGCCTCAACAAAGCAAAATCTCTAACTATTCCAGCAGTACACATAAGCCCGTTAATAGTATAACTGGGATAGACTGGGGTGGAGAGATGGCTCAGTGAGGGGTTAATTGTACATGTTGCTCTTCTCCAGTTCCTAAGCACCCGTGTTGGATGGTTCACAATTCTCTGCAACTCCAGCTCCCCAGGGACCCGAAACCTCTGGCGTCCTCAGCCAAAGGAGCACACATGTGCACACACAGACATTCATACGCATTCATTTAAAAATAATAAAAGTTAATTTTAAAAATAGGATGACCAAATTAACACAACTATAAAAGCAAACTATGACCAAAGCATATGTCCTTTAACAAAGAAGGGAAGAGTATGACTTCTAAACTGTGGGACACTAGACAGCTGTAACATGAGCTCACTGGAATTACTTTCCCCAAATTTCCATTAACAAGAAGAGCAAAAGATCGGGGCAGTGTACACACAGACAGGCACAGATGCTTATCTCGTTGTATTTGCTTTTTTGTTTTGAAACAGGGTCTTATGCAGACCAGGCCGGATCACCTTGAACTTTCTGACGCTCCAGCTGCCACTTCTGAGTCCTGGGGTTACAGGAACATGCCCCCATGCCTAGTTTATGGGGTGCTGGAGAGCACTCTACCAACTGAGCTACATCCTCAGCCTTTTCCACTTGGCTTTTAACAAGGAAAAGAAAAAGAAAAAGAAAAAGAAAGAAAAAGAGGGGAAGAGAAGAAGGATGGGAAACATTTGAACCCTATGTTTATGGATTCGAGCCTACAAAAAGGTATGGGGGACCTGCTATCTGCTGATGTGACAGAGATGGCAAGAGGAGTGGCTACCCAGGCAGAGGCTGGACAGAGGGAACAAGACTATATCCCGGCAACGTTTCGCACATGCAGCAGTGGAAAGAACTCAGCAAGAGTGGGAAATGGAGGCGACATCAGCATGTTCGGACACAACAAACCACAGAAAACCTAGAGAATGCACTAGTACTACACCAGTAACCCACTACCAACCACCAGGAGCAAGAGCTCCCTCAAAACCTTCTATTTGATTGAATCTTACTAGGCACAGGCAACAAAAAAATGACTGACCCTTAAAAAGCACAGCCTGGGATCCCCAAACATTCTGCAAGTTATTGGGAAGTCTCACTTGTCTCTGAGCCATTTCAAAGCTTTTGTTAGCAAAGCATCAAAACAACAGGAAAAAAAAAAGTGTAGTGTTACAAAAATTCAGTACAATGTTTTATGAGCAGTTTGGGCTAAGGTAAAAGAGAATAAAGGTTGGAAGGACTGTGTTAATTTAAGCAGGAATGGAACTTGTTTAAGGACCTGAAGATGGAGGAGAAAGTCAGGAAGCAGGGACTGAGGCTGTAGCCCAGGAGCATGGTGTGGATCTGGAATGAACAAGAAAGGCCCTATATCCCTAGAACAACAGGAAGTGAGGGGGTAGAAGAGGAGGGAGAGGCGGAAAAATGGTTTTATTTAGCTAGTTCACATCTTTTTGTTATTGTTAGAGGATGGGTGGTTGAGATAATGTCTTGTCCTATAGCCTCCTGGCTCAGACACCAAGACACAGTCTGGTCACCATGCCTGACTTTTATTTTCTACCACCATGAACACAGCAATGCTCTTCTGCTCACACTGCTTTTCCAGGCATGTGTATAACTGCACTCGTCTTCCTGATATCTAGATCTGCCTAACCCTAAGCATCCCTTACATCCATACTGTCCATGGAGATAGACGAGCAGGGGAAGGAGGGAGGAGGAATGTGCAGTGCAGCCGCCAGTGGCCCATACTTGCTGCAGATGGATGTCCAGGTATGTGGATAAATTCAGGTGAAGGACTGTTACTACCAGAAGCCATGACCATTCTACACACAGAATGCTAGCCTAGCATTCAGTCCTTAGTCTCCTTCCCAAATTGGTTGTTATAACAAAACCAAAACAAATGGATGATATACCTCAGAGGTAAGTAGCTTGTGTGACACGTAAAGCCCCTGAGCTAAATCCCCAGAGAAAGAGGAGGACAGTTGCAAATGAATAAACCACCAAACCATGCTCAAATGTCACAGGAATGCTTCCAGAAGCAAATGTTAAATGAACATTATAGCTAGTCACCATTTGGGCTAAGCATCACCCCACCTCCCCAAAAGACCAGGCTAACAATCTACATGGAGTCATTCACACCCATCTGAAGATAAGCTGCTGTTATGACCTCCTGAAAAATCTGAAAAATTCCAGGAACTGCTCCCCCCCCCCAAAAAAAAAGCTAGCCTCACTGAAGCTGCTCCTTATACAAAGAAGTAACCTAGCTGTGAGTGGCGGCTCCTATCTATAATCCTCATCTTGAATACTGACTGAGGCAGGAGGACTGCTATAAGCTGCAGGCCAGCTTAGGCTACACAGTGAGTTCTAGACCAGCTACGATTATGAGTGAGATCCTTTCTCCAAGAAAACAAAACATCAAGGAAAGAAGTGATTTGATGCTATCAATTATTTTTCTATTCTGTTTCCCTTTCTCTGACATAAAGGAAATGGCTTTCTCATATATACATACATATATGCATATATATATGCATATATGTATGTATATGCATGTATGTATGTATGTATGTGTATATATATATATATAAAACATTTTTTCTTATTTTACATATAGATCCAAGTTCCCTCTCCCTCCCATGCCCTCTTACCCCACTCCCATCCCATTCCCCAGATTTATTTATATCTCACTGGATCTGCTTTCAAAGCCTTTTCTGCCTGTACCAAACACTTTGGTTGGTACACTGGAAATTGCTACATTTTAAAATTGGGGAGAAGGCTCCATGGGTAATGGTGTCTTCTTGCTATGCCTGAATTAAATCCTGGAACACATACAGTAAAAGAGAAAACTGACCTCAGACCTCCACACAAATACCCTGACAAGTACATAAACATACTGACATGAAATAAATTAAAAAAAAAATCAATAATTTCAACTGCTGTGATTTCAATCTTTGACAGCATATATAAACAAACCTTTGCTCTTGAGGACCCTAAGAGAGACATCCATGGTCCCCTGGAGAAGGGGAAAGGGACAAGATCTCCTAAGCAAATTGGGAGCCTGAAGGGGAGGGGAGAGGGAGTTAGGGGGAAGAGGAGGGAAGAGGTGGGCATGAAGAAGCAGGGAGATTGAGTCAGGGAAAGACTAGAGAAGAGCAAGAAAAGAGATAACATAATAGAGGGAGCCATTATAGGTTTTAAGAGAAATCTGACAATAGAGAAATATCCCCAACTAACAATCTAAGCAATAGTGGAGAGGCATCTTAAACACCCTTCCCTGATAATGAGATTGATGACTACCTTATATGCCATCCTAGAGTCTTCATTTAGTAACTGATGGCAGCAGAAGCAGGCACCCACAGCTAAACACTAGCCGAACTCCTGCAGTCCAGTTGCAGAAAGGACTGGGCAGTCTACGGGACCTCTGGTAGTGGATCAGTATTTATCCCTAGTGTACAAATGGACTTTGGGAGCCCATTCCACATAGATGATACTCCCTAGACACATGGGGGAGGGCCTAGGCCCTGCCCCAAATGGTATGACAGACTTGAAGACTCCTCATGGAAGTCTGCTCCCTGGGGAGCAGAAAGGGGATGGGATGGGGGCTGGTGGGGGGAACAGGGGAGGATGGGAGGGTGCAGGAATTGTGATTG